GGATTTTCTTTTTTACAAATCTGTTGTAAAGAAAACAGTTATGGAAGAGTTATAGATGATACTCAAATACATGTAAGGTATTATTTAGTTTGACAAGTTCGAGTGAAATAAAACTTTTCTCAAAGTTATTCCAAGAAGAATGTGTGTTTCTATTTCTTCTTTCGTATGTTTATACCATTATGAAATTGAGACGTCTTCTTCATTAAGTGTCGCATATAAAACGGCCCTCTTTTATAATTCGTTCTTGATTAAAAAAGCCACGAAATTAATAAAGCATTTTAAATGCAAAAGTTAAAAAGGGTAAAACAAAAACTCACATTTTAAAATTGAAGTGGAAAACAAAGCCCTCAACTTAAAAGAAAAGGCAAGAGCAAGCCAGAAAAAGAGCAGAACAGAAACTCAAGTCAAAGGCATCATAAAAGTTGAGCACAAACTTTTTGATATCTTAAATAACTTAGTAAAAACTAAGTATGAACTTAGTCTTAACTTAATTGTCATTATAAAAATTCCCGAAAAAGACTGGAGGTATGATGTTACCAAAAAATATTACCCCTAAATGGGACAAGGGGTAAGACCACCTAATGTTCACCAACAAAATAAAAAAACACTAGTTAACTTCACAATTAAACTTTCACTATGGAGCAGGATCTGAACCAGTATTTAAGGTGGCATCATCAGCAGCTGAAGGTTCAACTTGATCAAAAGAGGCTTGAACAACTACCACATCAGGATTAGCTTCAACACCTTCGGGGGTATCAGCCATGGGCGAAGAAAAACTTTGGCTTTGTTGAGTCTTCTCGATAGTTTCTATAATCTTTGCTATCTCAACATCCAAGTTAAAACCTTCTTGGCCTACTTCCATAAGAGTGTCATGGCGCGTGTTCAAAATGACCTAACTTACTTCAACAGCAGCTTTGTCTTCAAGAGCTTCATAATCTCTCTCCCAATGATCGATTTCATTCTTAAACTCTTCCTTTTTGGCTAAAGCAGCATCATAAGAAGCCTGTAAAGGGGCAAGCGAACTCTCCAAAAACTTAACTTTATCGATAGACACTCAGAGATGTTCTTGGTCTTGGGTGAGCGTTTGAACAAGCTCACCTGCATAAACTTCTTTCTCATCCAACAAGGCTTTTAGACCTCTGATCTTTGCAGTAGCCTTAGAGAGTTGTTCAGCAAAAGATGACTCAAGAAGGTTCTTGTCCTTGCCCGCCTGGTTGGAAGAGGCTTTCTCAACTGCTAGCTCCGTTGCCATGACTTTTATCTGCTGCTCCAAGGTGCACTTGTTCTCCTCTAAAACTTCCATCTCAAGCTGGAGACTTTCATATTACTCTTTTCAATTATCAGCCTCAATCTGATAGTCATGCATCAACTGCTCCGTATGGGAAACCCTTTTTATTATCTCCGTACCGATGAGATTGATCTACGTAAAGAGAAAAGGGTGAAAATACTAGTAAAAGGAAAATTACATAAGGTAAAAAGAGAAGTCTATACCTTCAATGATGATTGTACAATGTTGTTCATCCAAGTCAAAGAACTATGACTTTCCAGTTTTGACTTTTCCATCAGACCTATTAAGGGTTTTAGCCATACATCAGCTTGCCCTGACTTCTTCAGAAGATTACCATCATCAGGAACCTCAATGATAATTTGCTTTATTGCCATGCTACCACATGAAGAACCAATTTCATTACGAGAAGTATTGGCAGTAGGAATGGTCGAAGAGGCTATAATAGCTTCGAGCGGAGCGTAAATAGCAACGGTAGGAACGGCCACATGGGATTCCATTGGAACTGACACAAGAAAAGAGGGAAAAGGCATTTTCTCAGAAACCAAGTCAAAACTTTCATTGTCAAAACCACGTGAAAAGAGGTGTTCATCAGAGTCTTGAGGTGCCACATGTGTCTCTTCATCAGAACTCAATAAAGTGGCTTCAGCAGGCTCGGTCACAGAAACAGAATGAGGAGGGGGAGTAGCTTCATCATCCGAAACGACACGTCTTCTAGCCCGCGGCTTACGCACTAAAGAGCTTCCATCCCGCTCCTCTTCATCTTCAAAATCTTGTGGTCTATCAGCTTTTCTTTTCGATGAAGAACTCAAAATTATCTCTTGAGCTCTTGCCAAAGAAAGTCTAGAAGTTGCGATTGACTCAGCACTCACACCTCGAATAGGAAACCCTGTTAAAAAAAAGGTTAATAAATTTAAAGAGAGAATCACTGAAGGAAAAAGGAGGAAATAAATTTTTTTACCGTGAGTCTTAACTTTCCAACCAAACCTATTCGAAAGGTACTTCCAAGATCTTACTTCCATTGGAGCAATTGTCAATAATTGTTCTACCCAACCACGAAAATTGGGAATTTCTTCAACAGTTCCCATGCTTGCTGAAAAAGAAAAGTAAAACAACCACGGGAAGTACAAACTCTTTAAAAAAAGTTGTAAAGAAAACTTACGTGCAAAATTTTACTTCTTAGGGAAGGGCATATTTTCTTCACCAACTAACCCTTTCGTAGGAGCAGCAACAAATCGGGCATACCGGCCACGATCTTTATCGTCCTCAAGGCTGGCTAAAGTTCTCTTACTCCTCGCTACCAGAGTCAAAATTCCATGACGGAATAATTTAGGGGAGTAGAGATGGATTAGATAAAAAAAGGTGAAAGATAATTAAGCCAAATTAGCCAAATACCTTAAACATGCAACAACCCTCCATACAATAGGGCCAATTTGTCCTAAACACACATTGAAGAAGCGGCAGAATACATTAATGGTTGGATCAATAGGGGGTCTAAAGTCTAATGTAAAGGGGTACATATACACAAAAGAAAAATCAGCTTTGAAAGAAGTGATCCTTTGATTTGCATTAGGGATCAGAATTGGGAAATCAAACTTCCAATGACAATCTCTACGAACAACAGAGATCAAACCTTCAGTAATCTGTGAAGGGTAAACATCGGCATGATCATGAGAGGACATAGAGGAGACCTGGTTTCTAATCGACTCTCTGTTCGTATAAAAAGAAAGCTCAGCAGGAATAATCTCGTCTACAGTAGGCTCACGAATTGGCTTAATGGAATCCCTACCTCTAGCAGAAAACCTATGAGAAAGAGAATGCCTAGTTCTAGAAGGTGATGGAGGAGTAGGATTAGGTTGAGAAGGAGAACCTCGAACAGAAACTGCTCCTAAACTACGCAGCCTACCACCTCTCATGCTTCTAGTAGGAGCGAGGGGAAGTTCATCAACAATAAGAACCTTTTTAAGATCAGGGTTTGAAGAAGACATAGCTATGCGAAGATGAAGAAAAGATTGAATAGCAAAGTATGGGAAACGTTTTCGTGAAAGAAAAGATAAAGAATATATTTATACTTGGAAGCAACCGTCAAACAAAAAGGTAATGATGGAAATGTCATTATGAAAACTGCCACTCTGTGATTGATGCAGTCGTAAAAATGCCCTAAAAGGCGCTGAGGAGCTACAGAATCAATCATAGGGCACCACGTGTCACACGCATTAAATGGAACTGACATACAAAGCATCAGTTCAAAAAAAGGTATAATGGTATGGGGGAAACTGCGGCAAAAATTTCCGCTTTAATAAGATCCACTTCCCAAATATTCAGTTGCTAAATAAATGGCAAGTGGAGGGACTATCTGTGTTGGAGGAAAATCGATATTACACTTGGAATTAATTATGTGGCTGACGTGTCAAGACACGAGGATTATTAGAAGAGTGACAACTGGCAAAGTGTACTTAAAGAGATGCGAGTTTTAACAGGTACGAGCGAAGTGTCATAAAAACAAGAAGGAACGGTCACTCTGGCCTCTTGATAATTTGAAGAGACACCGGTGAAATGAACCAATACAATAAAAAGTACAAATTCGTAATATCTTCAATTAATGAGTGTAAATGATATGAAACGTTATAGAATCTTTACGAAACAGTTACGATTGCTAATTATAACGTTTTATTAATGTCACTAAATGCTCATAATGGCTCTACTATGATAGAAAAGAAACATTGTACTTGGATATAGCTATAAAAGGAAGAGAAGTAACATTTGTATGAACACACTGATTATTATTGGAATATATTTATTTGCATTGCCTTACATTGCTTACTCGGCTACTTCTCAGTCCAATTTTCCTTTTTTGTTATACAATTATCTCTTCATTTGATTATCAGTAATCCGAATTTCTCTAAAATTACGCTTTGACCGAAATACCTATTTTTTGGTTAAACAATATGTAGCTTCTATTAAGTTTGGTAGCCATGTACGAGAGTCACCCGGATCCGATTTGTTAACTCCGTGATTATCAATCAACTATTAAAGGGGGGAAAAAACAATGGATAAGACTAGAAATTAGGTAAAGTTGATTGCCATTTAAATTCTTCTATCCAATGTACTCTCTCTATTACATTTTATTTACATTGCGGTATTTAATTAAACATAAACTTTAAGAAGAAAAATAAAACTTTTGACATATATCAAAAGTATTATTAGGATTTATGATTTCGAACATTTCAAGATATTTTTATTGCTATTAGACCATATCGTTAAGGATAAAGTACTTTTTTATTTATTTATGACTTACTGAGATAGCCACCAAAAGTGGATCCAGAATTTATATTTAATGAATTTAATTTTTAAGATTTTCACCATTAATTTGTATTGGTAAATGATGGGTTCATATATATAGACACACATGCTTCGTGTCGAAAGTTATGGGTGATCTGAACTCATAGTTGATAGGCTACATTCGCCCCTGACAGCCACCGCCTACTCATCTAAAATGAAATGACATATGAAATTATCCCAACGTAATACTTATTCAAAAGGATACTTTTAGTACTTTGCATATGATACATATCACAATTCTTCTTTAATTTTTAAATTTCGTATTTAATCAAACACTATATAAATAAAGAAAGAGAGTTGCATTTAAACTTTTTTAATCAAAGCAAAGTTCGAAACCATCACTATATAAAGAACTTAAAAGTCTTATATCAAGTCCTTGTTTGATCAAACAAACAGATAAACCATACAGACCTAAAATATAATAACAATATATACCATATATCTTCTTATCTTTCTCAATCATTATCCTATTTAGTGATTAATCATTTCCAATTAATGGCAATGAGAAAGAGCTACCTCTTTCTAGGAGGAAAAGAAAGGGTTAGTCCTATGCCTTCTAGTGCTAGTTCTCTACAATTCGAGTTTGATGAATCTGATATATGGAATAATACTAATAGTTCAGACGAAGTTCTTCCTCAAAAATCAATACCTAATTCACGTTTCTTGAAAAAATCAGCAAAGAAATCTGGAGGGAGGGCAATATCTGCAGCAGCAACATCACTGCCCGTGAACATACCGGATTGGTCGAAAATCCTAGGTAATGATTACAAGAATAATTGTCTAAGAGAGAGAAACGATAACGAAGACGACGATGATGACGACGTGGACAGTAGAATTCCACCTCATGAATTATTGGCAAGGACAAGAGTGGCTTCATTTTCAATGCAAGAAGGTATGGGAAGGACTCTTAAAGGAAGAGACTTGAGTAGGGTGAGGAATGCTATTTGGAAGCAAACTGGATTTGAAGATTAATTAACTAGTTAGGTTTTTTTTTTGGTTTTTTGATGGGCTAATGTGTTATGTTTTATAAGTTTTTTTGGGTAGATTAATCCTCTGGTTTTTGTGGTTTCATCACCCCCTAGGTATTTCTTTAACTACCCATCTGTATCGGTTTTGGATACAAGTACACTATTGCGCGATGCTGTCGTTCGAGCTTTTCGTAGGGCGCAGTGGGTTTAGGATGTCAGCCCAAAACAAACGGCTCTGAAACAAATAAACAGGCGTGTGATCGGACCAGATAGGCTCAGCTAGCTTGACCTTTTTAGCTATGACTTATAATAAGTTCGTGTTACTCTCAAATCTCCATTTTGTTGATATCCTCTCTTTCCTTAAATTATGTAGAGTCATTGGATTTTTGTAATCGAGAGGATCAGTTTGTAGTTTCTAACTTTTTAATTCAGTTTCGGAATATAAAATTGTCACCAAATGATTTTGCGTTTTCTTGATAAGGTACTCCTTGTGTTTCTCTTTTATGTACTTTGTAAATATGTAAATTTTATATTAACATCTTTAATTGAATTACGTCTAAAATTGAGTAATTTGACCTTACTCTAAACCCGACCTTCACATAAAATGGAACGAAGGGTGTAAATATTATTGTTCCGATCTCTCATTCTTTTGTTTATTTTAATTTGCTTATGGTCATGATCTGTTCATTGAAGAATGCATGCAGCAACATTTTTTAGTTATTACTCCTATGTATGCCAATTTCTCTTATTTAGAATATAAAATATATACTTCCTTTTAGTAAGTAATTGAGAAAACGAAATGGAAAATTTCAAAAAAGTTGTGAGAAATAAGAAAAAAGAGGTTAACATGTGGATTATTGTTTCTTGTATTTGCCGTTATGCTCAGAAAGAACAAAGAAGTCAAGAGGAGAGAGGAAATGGACAAAATATGTTTAATTAAGTACAAAAGAAGAGAGATGAGGACGTGTAGACTTTTGTGTAATATCTAATGGTAGGTAAGAAAGCAATAGATTAGTTTAGACAATCCTTCGAAGCTAAAATCACACGCTAACTAACAAATCTGTCCCTCTTTCACTCCTTGAACTAACTTATCCTCTAGTAAAAGAAGAAAAAACTGATCTTCTTGTTTATTGCGCTATATAATATTTTCTTCGCTAGGATTTTGTATTTGCATAGCAAATAAAATAATGTATAACCTAAAAATTGATCTTTTTTGTGTTGTACGTCTGATTTCCACAGGACGAAGTCATACTCGAAACATAAGATTATGAGGAACATCGATCTGTACTTTTCATATCCCTCATCTTGTTTTTGAGCCATATATAATGTTCTTTATCTGAAGGAAGCTTTGGAGCAACGGTAAAGTTACATCCGTGTGACCTGTAAGTCACGGGTTCGAAATGTGTGAGTGCAGCCTTTCCCCGAATCCTGCATGAACGTAAAATGCTTTGTGCAGCACGCTGCCTGTTTTTATAATGTTCTCTCTCTAGCTCCAGTAAAACAACAGAACCCTACTCTCCAGTATCGAGAATTGTCTCCAATTTTTTCATGAGCAGTTATGGCTACATATAAAACACTGAATTTGTTAAAAATCTGATGCTAAGATGATCGACTAATCAGTTAGAGGCTTTACCAGCAGTCTTTGGCACATAACTCAACACAACTTCTAGATATAGTCACCCAAGCTTGAAGATCTATTTAACTCTTGAAAATCGATGTAGGGCCTAAATTTTGACATTGTTCTTCTACATTAACATTGTCAACAAAGAGGTTATTCCTCACGAAAATGTGAACAAACTGAAATGCACTGATTTACATATAAGAGAAGTTAAGGTGGCCTGACTGCAAAAGGGGAGCACTGGAGCCAGCTATCGAGAAGCCAGAGACCAAAAGTTCATGAAAAAGGATGGTGATGCAGCAAACCAGCTTAAAAATGCCATTGCTGTAGCTGACATAAATCTCGTGCAGTGGTTCACTTTGCATTTGTCAAGATCATTGCTAATAAGGACTGTAATTCCAGCTGAAGCACAGGCAGCAGCAAATGTAAGAGTTGACGTGATCTGCACGACAGTGAAATCATGAACCTTAGTGATGATTAGGGGTGACAAAATGGTTAAAAGAAAACAATTAACCACCCATATTATCCACTAAAAAATGGGTTGGATAATGAACTTTTTAAAAACGAGTCAAATATGGATAAGAACCATATTATCCATTTAGAAAATGGATAACAAATGGGTCTAACTTTTACATTTGTAAAGCCTCAAATTGGGGGTTCCTCAAGTTAGGGAGACTAAGAATTCTCCCAAAAATGATCATATACAAGAAGTCATGAATAATATGGTTACCCATATTATCCGCCGGTTAACCCGAACCATATTCGAACTGACCCGCCCGTTTGCCACTCCTAGTGATGATGATCACATATTACAAAAATATTTCTACAAGTGGCCCATTAAAATCAGTAGATTGCGAATGATGTGACCAACATTCCTTCTAATAAATGTATACAAACATTATGCTTACAGTTGGATGAAGAGTAGAAGTGATGATCACATAAGATCAATCCACATGTGCCCCATTAAAACTCAATAGAATGCAAATAATTTGATTAAACAATCCTTATTTTAAAGAAAAACATATTGGCTTATATACCCAACATAAAAATCTCGGAAAACAACATAATCAAGGGTTAGGAGGAGAACTGGCCATTCAATTTCAATCTTGTGAACTATACAATATGTTAGCAGTTATGATGTATCCAAGAACAGACCATGCAAAAGACGATTTAGGTACTTCTCCCAACCAAATAACTACTACACCTCAAGCCCAAAGTAGTTGTAATAATTACAATCCATAAATTTCACTCTATATTCGGATCCATTTATTCAAATGCTGGTAAGTACTTCATCTTTTAAAGCACATTAGGGTTTCTCCAAAGATAAATTTTCTCTAAATCTCACACTTATCCCTACTGAAACCTAATATAAGTGTAATAACTAAACCTAAGTGCCAACTAGTTGGATTAACTATATGAATTTTTGCTTTCAATTCCACAATGGACTCCTAAAGATAGAAAGTCTTTTGAGATATTTTCCATGTATGAGATTCAGGTCTACCTCATTAGTTGTTCCTTTTTACCATCTTTAATCACCACGCTTAAAGACCGAATTTGGTGGTCTATTAGAAAATGATTAAAAACCCTCAATTTTTATCCTATGTATGCTACTTCAATCCTCAGATACGATCATTTCTAATCCTGTTGGCACATGCTAAGGAACCGGTAGAAGTTAAATGCTTATCAAAAAAAAAAAAAAAGATTACCATTCTCAGGATTGGTTTCTCCAATAAACAAATTAATTTTGCCTGATTGTTATTTGAAATTTTTTACTAGGTCGTCCTTAGGGATTGGTTTCTCCAATGAACAAATTAATTTTGCTTGATTACTATTTGAGAATTTGTAATAGGTGCGAGAATTGGTTTAATTAAACTTAATAAAAGTCAAAAAAAGGAAGGTATGCTAGAGGTTAGGATTGGTTCAATTATATAAAGGTAGGAAATCTTAACTTCACTTAATGATTAACTTGAGATAATCAATTAATTCCACCTCTATTCAACTCTATTTACAAATTAGCATGTTTCTCGCGAATACACTCTTCTAACGTAGACGTCTAATTAGAATCACCAACACATAACTGCAACCTCTCTTGATTATCTTAACCAACACATACAGTACCAAAACGTCCTCTCTCAGTTAAGATTAAGGCTTGTATTAAATCAACTATAAAGAGCTAAGTAAAGGTTAGAAACTAAATCTCCTTTTTCAATTAAGATTTAGTGTAAACCAATCAACAGGAACCTATTAATGCAACACCAAAAGAACGCTACAGGGCCCTTCACCGACTTCAATAAATGCTTTGAACGGTAAACATGGCATTAATGAGGGAATTACACATAGGTTAGAACAAAGTAGTCAAAAGGTCAAAAAGCGGCGCAATTAAAGTGTGAGCTTAGCAAAGAAAAGCGCCGATGAATAAAAAGCAAAAAATAGAAATGTAATCCAAGAAAATGCAACTATATACACAAACAATCAAAAGAAGGGAAGAATTATAATTAAGCTACAGATGCAATTAAAATCATGTCAATCAAGTTCAAAGACCATCTTAAAGTTCTAATTTAGATTAATAAATATAGTTTTGGGCTTTCAATGGCTAGCTGTCTTATACTAAAGTTTCAAAATTTTCAGTCATGACATTTTCTTAACAAAATGTATCACTTTTGTGTACTATATATGATGTCTAATGTTTGTGCTCTTAAAGATTGAGCCCATCGGTAAACTGTGCACAACTTAGCACATTGATGGCTACACTAAAGCACTAACTAAGTGAGGCGAAGCGTCAAATTTGGGCTTCAAGGCTTAAGTGTGCTTTAAGCAAGCTTCGAGGTTAGAATAGGATAGATTACACTTTAAATTAATACATCAGGATCCATCGATAAAGTCTACTCCATCATGGAGTTCAAATTCCCAAAGATATAAACAAGCTTAACACAAATTATAACTGAAACAAAAAGTGAAAGCTACAAGGGAAGTTTCACAATTTTTTTGACTCTACTTCTTAAAATAGCTTGAACTTGGGATAAAACATGGTGAAAGTCTCCTTAGCTTGAGCCTCCTTCTCTAGGACAAAACCCTTGCCAAAAAGTGAAACTTTCCAATTTTTACCCCTTGGAAATTGCAATAGAAATGACATGTACAGCTGAAAAATCTCCTTCACGAGGCGCTGCAGCTAACTTTAGTCTGAAAGCTTAAGAATTACGGCTCCTAGTTGCAGTGCATGATCCTACCAACTACTTAGCCTAGTGATGCCTTTGCATTCTGCCTAAAAGCTTCCATTTTTTCATAAAGTTCTCTAATTACAGCCGTGGAGAAGTGTTTGCAGAGCCTAAAATCTTCATTTTCTTACTTCCAAATTTTGTTTTTTGGCTCTCCAATGAACAAATTAATTTGTAATTTTTGCAGCAAGGAATTCTTGAAGCTGCGGAATGGTTATTGGAGAGCCTAAGAAAGATATTTTTACCATGTTCTATTCTATTTCAAGGAGTAGTGACCAAAATTTGTGAAACTTCCCCTTTACTTTTCTCTCATTGTTATGGTTACAATGTGTACTAAGATTGTTTGTATCTTTGAGGATTTGAACTCCTAGATAGAGTAGACATTTGTTGGGATATTGATGGATCTTAAAGTATTAATTTGCGTTTAACCTTCTGTATTGTACCCTATGTGTGATTTCCCTATTAATACCTTATTTATTGTTCAAAGCGTTTATGAGGTAAGTGAAGAGCCCTTTAGCCTTCTGTAATGAGTGTTGCATAAATGGATTACTCTTGATGCTTTTGTACTAAATCTTAATCGAAAGAGAAGATATAGTTTCTACAATCATGGCATTTTTAATACAGTTTGTTAATCTCTTG